CCTTTAAAGGGAAATAACTCAAAACCGGAAGTGGCTTTTTGAAATTTTAGACAGCATTTTGATAGAGTTTATTAACGTCTATAACGTCTGAAAATTTGAGCGAAATCCATTGAGAAGTGAGCGAGATATGAGGCCTCAAAGTTGCGGTCTAGGAAGCAGAAGAAAAAAAAGAACTAGAGCAAAGCTCGTTGCAAAGCAACGAGTGGGTCTTCCTTCCTAGCGATAAGCAAAAGATGAAATGTTTCTGTCTAGATTGTCAACTTTGCTAACATTCTCTTTTTCGATTTGTCTCAAAAACCCTTACTTGAATTCTTTAATTTGGTGTGAGCATGAGGTCTAAAGGGTACTCTCTCTAACAGCATTCTTGAAATCGTTTCCACAACAGTTTAACTTCCAATATTGTTTTGAACGTAGTTTATTGATATCAATCAAAAGGATTGGAAACAAGTTCTAAATAACTTAGTGAATTCCTCTCCTTATATAATACAATATGTCATGCAAAAAGAAAAAAAATAATACAATTGATACATGAATAAATAGATACAATATAATGTAATACATCATGTAGAGAATCTACATGTTTCGTCAATAAATTTATGAACAGCAGCAAAAATTCTGTTATTTATCTGTAAAGGCAAATTAACATCACCACATAATAATACATTAATATCAATAGAAACCAAATCAAGCATGAACAAATGATTAAAAAGAGTACTTCTAGCACTGGAATAATTTGTGCATGCAAAAAAGAAATGATACACATCTTCATTTTTTTTACATAAACATAATGGACTACTTACAATATTTCGTTTATATAGATCATCGTTTAGTATACAGTAATGTCTTAACTTGGTATGAATGATATTTGTGTATCATTTGCCAAAAGAAAAGTATGGTGGTGGAATATCAATTTTTGTTGTCAAGTTTTTTCTAAATGCTTTGACTGTAACGGCTTCTCTCGTATCTGTTTTTAATAAATTTTGTAGCGTCAGGTACGAATGAGTTTCTAAATAGTTCTAATCTACACTTAGGAACAACATCTTCCAATATTATGACTTTTGATATCGGATATATCATGTTTGTTGCAATTATGTTTGTAAAACGTGTCATACTACAGAAACATAAGTGTTTTGCTACATTACCATCTTAAAAATGGCTTTAAATTCATTTAATATACAATATAACTAGGTAAATAAAATAAACAAATTATATAATTATTCAAAAAATCCAAATGTATTTACAATAATGATGAACAATCTTCATTAGTTGCAATCAGTAAGTAGAACAATACTTTTATATTAAACGCACAGAAATGTGTTGTGTATGTTTTGAATTTGAAGCTTTCCACTAGCAACTAGTGGTACCTCAATAGGAGTGTAAAATTCTCTGAAAGGTATATTGTGAACATATTACATATGGCTGTGTATTCTTTTTTAGCGGCTTTGGCGGAATGCAGCAATCACTAAATCAAGTACAAAGCTAAAAGTCTTGTAAATAAACATAAATAAGAATATCTACGCTTACTTATTCAAAAGTCAATTTCCACCAAATATTGTACAAGCTAAATATAATACATTTACAGCATTAAAGAAACAAATCTCTTTGAAGGTATTGCCCTGCATAAGAACAATTTGAATCCCCTACACTAAGGATGCTCTGTGCCAAGTTTCACTTTGGTTCTGGAAAATGATATTGTGAAATTTTAGACAATGATGATAATGGATAAAACTAGTGCTAATTGTAATGGGGACCGTTACAGATGTTCCCCAAACGCTCCCCAACTCCTTTTTGGTGCCATATTCCCTGTAAGCTTCATTAAATAAGACAAACTCTGTGCATTTTGACTTTAACAACGTTTTCTCAGAAGGATACCAATTATATTCAAATTTTAGCATTGTACCCGTGCGCATGTGAATGCATGTCCGTTATGATCATATCATCTTGTCTACACTATCTACATATTTTAATATACAATATATTAAAGCATTCAGTCCAAAAGTATGAAAAATCACTCTATCAAATGTATTTTTCATTTCACTCGTTCCAAATGCACGCACGTGCGTGCACGTGCATGATGACCATACCTTCGTGTAGGAGTCCCTTACATCTATCTATATTCTAAATCCCATCCTGTTTGGTTGAAAAACAAGGGAGTTATAGCCATTTCAAGTTTAAGCCAATCAGATTGCAGCACACGTGCATGCGCGTGATTTCATGATTTTTTTTCTATATCATATTGTAGGATATCCTACTGCATGACTATGTTTTATATTTCAAAGCATTTCGTCAAAAAACAAAGTAGATATAGCCATTTAAAGTTTCAGCCAATCAGATTGCAGCACGCGGGCATGCGCATGCTTTCATGAAAATTCTTATATATCATGCCGTAGATCTTCATAATGTAGGTCTATGTTCAAAATTTCAAAGGATTATGACAAGAAACAAGAAAGATATTGAGACTTTTGTTTCAGCCAATCAGACTGTAGATCTCCCTAATGTATGACTATGTTCAAAATTTCAAATGATTTTATCGAAAAACAAAAAAAGATATTGAGACTTTAGTTTCAGCCAATCAGAGCAAAGCACACGTGCATGAGCGTGCGATCTTGCTATTTTGACCATGTCAGCTTGTGCATACTACAAATATATCTTTACATTATAAGTTTCAAAACATTTCGTCAAAAAAAGAGAAGTTACGGTTATATCCATTATATATTGGTCATTTTAAGTTGCAAGCACGTGCGCGCAAAATGACCTTGATTCCGCAAATCTACATAACATGCCTACTTACCCTAAAAAGGTTTCACCTAAGTCGGATGTGTAGTTTACAAGATCACTCGCGCACAAAATTTTCCCAGGAAGAAAAATAAGAATAATAATAATAAGAAACAGAGTAAAAACAATACGTTCCCCAACTTCGTTTGGGGAACATAATTATGTTTTTAAAAAATTTACTGGTTCCTTTAGCTCAGATGGGCTAATAAGTATGCAACAGGCAAAGTTTTGCAGTTGACATTGAAATGCGACTGGACATCTCTTCAATCTTGTTTTAGAAAACTACATGTACATGCCCTATGTACTGAATTCCTGGGAATCATACATATGTTTATGCCTTTAATTAGTTGTATGTACCAAAATAACATTTTATTTACATTATACTGTAAAAAAAAAACACATATATGTATTACAAGATCTTATATTCCTGCTGAAGACAGAGGATATGGAAATAACGAACAGTATTCAATCTCAACGTCCATTAAACAAATATACAAAATAAGAGCAGAGCAAACACGGACCTCCGAAACATCAGAGGTGGGATCAGGTGCCATGGAGGATCTATCTTAATCATTATAATAAGTAAGTCTAAACTTTGAAAGGGAAGACCTTAATAAAGAGGTCAACATGCTACACAAACAAAATATTATTATATTTAAAAAACATAGGTAATCAGAGATTACAGAGCTCACCTCAACGAATGTTGTCTTTAAGTAAGGGAAAGTCACACAATTAACCAACAAAAAGTGCACATTCCAAAAATGAAAATATTTAAGCAATTTTAATCTGATACTTTGAAATAGACCTACATAAAAAATTTAAACTAGTTCTTCTTCATGAAAATGTAATCAAAATCCAGCATCTGAAGCAAATTTGAGATTTTTCATCTCTTGATGCAACATTTGTGCAAGTTTGGTTTATACAATGTTATATAAGCCTTATAGTTTTTTGGTAATAGACCTGCACCCATAACTTTTACCTGGTCTATTATCTGAAAAATGTATGTCGAATTCAGCATCCGAAGCAAGTCCATTAGTGTGCATCCTAAGATGTATCGTCCGTGCAAGTTTGGTCATTAAAGAACTCATAGTTACTTGGAAATGAATCACTCACGAAAAACTTTAACCCATTCACTCAACCAGAAAATGTAGGTCAGATTCAGCATCCGAAGCAAGCCTGGTAGTATGCATCCTTAGATGTATCATCCATGCAAGTTTGGTCAACATAGGGCTTATAGTTACTTGGAAATAAAACCTACACCAAAAACTTCAACCTGTTCACTCAACCGGAAAATGTAGGTCAGATTCAGCATCCGAAGCAAGCATGGTAGAATGCATCCGTAGATGTATCATCCATGAAAGTTTGGTCAACATAGGGCTTATAGTTACTTGGAAATGAAACCTGCACCAAAAACTTTAACCTGTTCACTCAACCGGAAAATGACGGTCAGATTCAGCATCCGAAGCAAGCCTGGTAGTATGCATCCTTAAATGTATCATCCATGCAAGTTTGGTCAACAAAGGGCTTATAGTTACTTGGAAATGAAACCTACACCAAAAACTTTAACCTGTTCACTCAACCGGAAAATGTAGGTCAGATTCAGCATCCGAAGTAAGCCCGGTAGTATGCATCCTTAGATGTATCATCCATGCAAGTTTGGTCAACAAAGGGCTTATAGTTACTTGGAAATGAAACCCACACCAAAAACTTTAACCTGTTCACTCAACCGGAAAATGTAGGTCAGATTCAGCATCCGAAGCAAGCCCGGTAGTATGCATCCTTAGATGTATCATCCATGCAAGTTTGGTCAACATAGGGCTTATAGTTACTTGGAAATGAAACCCACACCAAAGACTGCACCAAAAATGTTAACCTGCTCCAAAAACATTAACCTGGTCATTTCTTTGCTGAAATTGCAGCATCTGAAACTTTGACTGGTACAATGAAACACACTAGAACCATCTTCCATGCATGTCTAATCAATATAGGACATAGAAGTACTTAAAAAGAAAACTGCTCCAAAAAAATTAACCTGGGACGCCAACGCCGACACCGACACCGACGCCGAGGGTATTACATAAGCTCCCCCAACTTCGTTGAGGTGAGCTAATAACATTTATTCCAATGTAATTACTGGTACATGTATTTCTGTTACAAAAACTATTTCACTTTAAAAACTGAGAGCAATTGATATGTTCATATTTGTGGATTTATGTTGTCAAATCAAAATTTAACAAGCATTCTGAGAGTATTGCATAAGCAATACATGTCCCCTACCGGGTTCCCCTTTTTCTTCAGGATGCCATTTTTTAATGTGCAAAAGTCATGTCCAAGGTTAAACTGAAAGATTTTCAAGTTGTAAATGCCTTAAATCTAATAAAATAATAAACATTAAGACGACAATTCAACTCATTTATCCATCGTCTTTTCCTCGCTTCATATTTTTGTCGACAATCGGAAGTTAGCGCAGTTCGAACCCGATCTTAATTAAGCGATTATGAAAAATATTCAAAATGCCATAATTCTGTCAGAAATCAATGGAGCGAAACGAAATTCAAACTTGATCTGTAACTCATTAAGATACACTCACTTACCAAAATTCAGCTTAACATCTGCAAGCGTTTAGAAAAAAAGTGCGGAAAACCAAGTGGGAATGAAAAATATTCAAAATGCCATAATTCTGTCAAAAATTAATGAAGCAAAACGAAATTCAAACTTGATCTGTAACTCATTAAGATACACTCACGTACCAAAATTCAGCTCAATATCTGCAAGCTTTTAGAAAAAAAGTGCGGAAAACCAAGTGGGACAGACTGACGGGGACAGACAGACAGACGGACAGACAGACAGACGGACGGACGGACGGACGGACGCAGAGGAAACCTATAGTCCCCTCCGGTTTCACCGGTAGGGGACTAAAAATGATACACAGTGTGTTTAAAAGTTGTCTTCACAAACCAAAAATTGACTTATTTTCACTATGCTGTTTATTCCATGTCACATCCAAACAGATGATCTTCTGGCAAATCATGGTCATGCTTGGTATCAAAATTCAGTATTCAGATGAGTCAAACCTATCCAAATGAAATTGAAATTTTTTAATTTATAATTCTTTTACTAATAAAAAGTGCAATTCATGAGATTATAAATTAGATTATCAAATTGAGAGATAAGATATTGTCACATTTTTTGTGTATAATTTGTAAATTTTAATGTACTCTTTCATCAATTAAAAGAAGTTTACACTAATTAAGGCAGTCATTTATGCTATCCCCTAATAAGACAACATACAAGTGCAAAGTAATCATGCACTAGTGGGTTTAGGATAATGTGCTACAGTATTTATGACAACATACTAGCACGAGGTGACAATGTGCTAGCATGTACGTCAGTGATAATATGCCAGCACACTGAATCCAACATTCAGTGAAGCTAACACTCAACAGATTGTTTAGAGTTGTGTTTGCATGATATTTTGTTTTGTGTAAACACAGCAGCGTGTTGTTTAAAGCTGCATTGGAGTGGCAGTCTGTTGAAATTAACATGCTAACACACTGCAACTTCACATCATTGGAACACCATAATTTTAAAACTGGCAAACCAATATCTATTAATGATTACTAACTAGGTAATTGCAACTGTAAATGCTGATTTCATGGTGACAATAATACCGGTAATTCACTGTATATCTGAGAACTGATCAATTATAATAAGGCGTGTCCAGATAGGGCCACTTGCTAAAGCTCAATAGCACTTTCATAAAAACGTGCCATCTTACCGACACAAAAGACGCCATTACGCTATCACACAGCTCGCCATCACAACACTGAACAAGAGGCCCAGGGGCCACAGCGCTCACCTGAGCACATCGGGCTTGAATTTAACCCCCCCCCAGGCGTTCATCATTTGAACAAACTAGAATCAACACTACCTGAGGATGATTCCATATAAATATCACTAAACATAGCTTTGAAGTACTTGAAAAGAAGATTTTAAAAGGTTTCACTACATATCCCTATGTAAAACTTGGGTCGGACATTTTAGCCCCACCCTTGCCCCGGTGGTCATGATTTGAACAAACTTAAATCTACACTACTTGAGGATGATTCCACATGAGTTTCATTTTTCCTGGCCCAGTGGGTCTTGTGAAGAAGAATTTGAAAGATTTTTATTATATGCAGACCTGCCTACCCTTTTCATTGCAAGGGTGTAATTTCAGTACATTTTTGGTGGAGTTTTAGAGGTAAAAGCGTAATCAATCATGTTTTCCTATTTTGTTGTTCTACTACATGTATGTTACCTTTTTTTTGTTCGAAAACAAACCAACTTATACATTACTAAACAAAGCTGGCATAAACTCATCTTTTTCGAATCATGTATTGGCAAAAAAGTGTTGTAAAATACCAGTATCCTATATTAACTCAAATCAAAATCACGCCTTTGATCAGGTCCAGTCCAAAGACTTTTTCTACCTACGTATCTAATAGCTACGTAGGTATTTAAATCTACCCAAAGTAGCTATTTTTACCTACTTTTGGTATTATCTACATTTTGTGTCCAAATGACTGAACGGCGCAACATGGTGATACCATAATTTTTGATACAGTTACACTAAATAAATGCGGAATAAGACAAAATTTTGTTTCTATGCAAAATTGATAATATACGAAGTAATCATTTTTTGGCCAAAATTTGGTCATATCCATCATTAGTGTGACTGTATCA